CGATATTTACTTTTACGAGCATACGGTGCACCTGCAGCAGCCCCACCACTTATTCTTTAGGAGATTGGAGGCCAAGAACCCACAGGAGCTAAGCCTCACCGGTACTCAAGAAAAAAACGCGGTTACAGTAATAGTCCAAAATACTTATCAACTGGTTGGCCAGAGGACTGGTCAATCAGAACAAAGGTAGGCTATAATTCACCAATGCTGGCAGGCTAACCGTGGATATCAGGTAAATGCCTACCTTGGACACAATGTACATGATGAATTAGAAATAGTTGAGGCAAAGGAATAAATCTAAGTTTCTGGACTGAATAATTGGTTGTATGATACTGTCATTTCCCCAAAAAAGGAAGACTAAAGAGAGAATAATTTTAGGAGGTTGTTGGTAGTGGTAATTTTGGGTATAAAATGTTGGATATGCTTGTGAAACATCCAAATGGAGACGTTAAATGGGCAATTGAATAGATGTTGCTGGATCTCAGAGGCCAGGAATGGATTAGAGACATAAATTGAGTTATTGTATAGATAAAACTTAGAACCATGAGAATGAAAGATATTACCTAAAGTGAAAGGTGGAGAGAGAAGAGGAGGGTGATACAAAAAGATGGGCCAGAATAGAGCCCTAGTGTTGGAAAGATCCAACCTTTATTTAGAGATGAGATCATGAAAATGGAGCCAGCTGGGAAACGATAAACCCTAGAGAGGAAAACTATAGTCTCACAGAAGCCACCGCAGTCACTGAATAATGCCAACAGAATATACCTTATGATAGAAAAGGGATGAGTAAGCTCTGTCCAATGCTCCAAGAAGTTGAGTAAGAGTGCAGATCACTGCTTAGTAGTCACTGCTGATGTCAAGAGAAGTTGTTTCTGTAAGCAGTGGAGGCAGAAGCCGCACTGGAAGAAGACAGACAGTAAGGTAGAGGTGAGGGGATTAGCAGGTGCAGCAAGCCTCACCAGAGTTTGACAATGACATGGAGAAAAGAAATGAGATAAGGGATGCTGAGAATTATGGGATCCAGAGTTTGTTTTAAACAAAGAAGACATTAAAAATAGGTTGACATGTAATTGTTGTAACAACTCCATGGTTTAGGACAGTATTATTCTCATTTATCAGATGAGAAAACTGAGGTTCAGAGAGGTTAAATAACTGGGTTAGGTTCTCATAGCTAGTAAGAAACACAGCTGAAAGTTGAATTTAGCATATTTCACTCCAAAGTTCTAGGATAGAAGAACACTTCTCATATTGGGTTACATTTGTTTTCCCACATGACTGTTTTCTCATTTTAAGAATTTTACTTTTAATTGACATTAATTAGACATAGGACTCACTTTTTTCTAAATACAAAGGATGAGTCTAACTCATCCTTTTTTTTTTTTTTTTGAGACGGAGTTTCACTCTTGTTACCCA